ATTTCCAGATTTCCAGATTCTCAGTGATGTGTGATCTACGAAATTTGATGATCACAGTAAATTGAAAAGAGCGATAAGAAAATTTTTTTTGGTTCAAATCACTAGCGGAAGGTACCAAAATAAATAATTTAACAATCTGATTGAAAAGAAAAAATCATCGATTCCAATATCTAATCACAAGACTTCCTATTAGTCAGGGAATATACACATATACGATATAGAGGTGCTTAATTATACAAAAATGTTAATCAAAAATTCGCAAAAAAATTTGAAAGATTTTTATTCGCTTTAATTAAATTATAATTTTTGAAAGTTAAATAGCCTCCTAAATAATATTGGATATTATTTGGCAACTTTTCTACCGAAAACAAAAATTTAAATTATAGTATAAAAAAAAAAAAAAAATCGGGTTCAAATTACTATCGCTTCCGAACCTTACTTATGGAAGACGATAAATTTTATAAAAAATAATTTTATCGATATGCTGTATTGCTTATCCAACTTCCTAATACAGTATCACAAAACAATACCGATTAATGATGGGTGACGCAACCACGTGATGCTAAATGTCACATGCTATTACTTATAAAAAATCAAAATAGATCGTTGATTTTTTATAAGTAATAGCATGTGACAATTAGCATCACATGGTTGCGTCACCCATCATTAATACCGATACAGCAATATAAGCCACTTCGGGTCAAATCACATGCTAATTTAGGAATACAATTCACTCTCGTTTTAAAGATTCTATAGAATAATTTCAACTTGATATAATAAATATAGTATTCTTCTTTCATATGAGCCATAAAAATAAAAGTCTTTTTTTCTTCTTAGCTCAGTAGCTTTACTATAACAAAAAGTGAGTTAACACAAAAAATCGTACTTATCAGAAATATTATAACCAAACTCAAAAATCTACCCTACATAAAAATTTTTATACGCATAAAAATTTTTATACGACAGATCTGACAAGTCGTACAGATGAGTAATTACGCGTTAACGTTAATTTTTATAGTACGTATATATATAAAATCACCGCGTTATTGAATCAGGTAATTTGTGTTACATAAATAGTTATAAAGGGATGATCATCTACTGTCGTACTGTTTGATCTTTTCTTCCCCGAAAGCATTGTTTTTTTTTTTCATAATTGTTAGAGTTTAATTACTTGGCAAGTAATTATAAAATTTCCTATTATTATAGTATAAAGCTTAAGGAATATCGATAGACAACTTTTTTAGGTCTATAAACTTTGATAAACTATGAACATTTAAAAGTATATATATTTTTCGATTTTACATAAAACTAATTTTTATTGTAAATTAGTTTTTTTTTTTTTTTTTCTGTGACGCTTTTAATTCATGCAAAAATCCAAAAAAATGAAAATGAAAGGCAATACAAAACGTAAAAAATCCAACAAATCTTCTAGTAAACCAACTACTTCTTCGACTCAGACATCATCATCATCAAACCTTTTACGACTTCCATTAGAAATATTTCTTGAAATCTGTAAATCTCTTACACCGGTTGACTTATTATCTCTTTCGTTAGTATGTAAAACTTTTTACAATGATTTATGTTGTGGAGAATCTAAAACTATTCAAGAAATATGGCGTCAATCAAGATTAACTTTTATGCCGTTTCGTGAAATGGGACCACCTGAGGGAATGAATGAACGAGAGTATATTAGGTTTTTAATCGAGAATAAATGTTATTTTTGTGGTTCTAAAACTCGCGTTACAAGAATATATTGGGAAAGAAGAGTAAGATCATGTATTAAATGTTTTAAAGAAAATACGGTCCTGTAAGTGAATTTTGATTTTTGTATATATGTATGTTTTTTTCCTTTTTCTAAAGAAATCTTTGATTATTTAGTGAAGGTATAGACAATAGAATCAAATTGATTCTTCAAAGACCATTTCTCCAAAATGGAAGTTTAAGTAATCGTTTCTGGCGTGATCAAGTAGAATCAAAATATGCTGAGCTTTGTAACGTTATTGTTAAGGATCAAAATGAATGGATTTATGATCAATATCAACTTTATAATATCCTTCAACGTGAAATTGCTGAACGACGACGCGAAGATGTTTTAAGCAGAGAAAATCAAAGATCTCAAAGGATTCAAGGTATTAGCGAGAAGTTGGATTTAATGTGTGAAGAAATTGACGAGAATGGATTGGTGAAATATCAAAGATATCTTCTAGAGAGATGTCCAAGCTTGTGTAAATGTTATACTTATGAACGTCCATTTAGTGAACGAGGGTAAGTTTTAATTTATACTTAATCGTCTTAATCATCTTAATAGTTATATATATTTACTTTTTATTACATTATCTAAATCACTTAATTCATTTATTAATCACGGTTGATTATATTGTAGATGGAAAATTTTACGACAAAAATTAATTAAGGAATATCCGCAGGTGGAACAATCATACAAATGTTTGATGTTTGACAACAGCTATGAGGATAGTATTGATGATTACGATAGTGATGATGTAGAAATTGATGAAGATTCGTATAATTCGTTTGATGATGATGATGATGATACAAAACTTTTCTTTGGCTCTGGAAGTTATCGTTGTATGATTCAATAGTCTCTTAGATAAACAATAGAGTATATAATCAAAGTTACATAGTATATTTGAAATAATATGGACTATATGATATAGTTTATCCCTATAGCATTTGACTGCATTACGAATAATAAAATCAATTCTGGATTATTGCTTTTTTAAATATTACAATATATATATATAGATATATTTTCTTTACACATCTGATGTGTTACCGCTACTCAATTAAATACTTGCATAATTTCATTAGTAAATAAGGAATCATTTTTTTCAGTATATAGTGCATTATTTTTTTTTTAAATACTACGTATATAACTTGTGGGGTTATTGAACTAAGTTAGATATGTATATTTTTTTTGACGAATATTTTCGCTTTGAACATTTTTTTTGGTGATTTACTACGTCATCCACTTTTAATTTTTGATGTATCTTTTTTAAATGTAGTAAATATTTGTAAATAAAATTAAAAAAATCAAGGATAAATAAAGGTTGTGGTTAAGAAAATATTTTGTTTCAAGAAATAAAAGAGATAATAATAGAATAACGATAGCAAATTTATAATATCATGAAATCGCTAATATTAATTTTTCGTTTATGGACCCTAAGTTCAGGTTTATGATCGATGACACTGCCATAGCGTATAGTGTTATTATTTCACACATTGTCAGATAATCAAGATCTCTCCTAACGCTTTAGTATACTTTAAGATTCGAAGATTCAAAAATCAATGAACTTCTTGTGTCGATCTATTTATACGAGATAAAGATCAATCCAATAACGAATTTGAGTAAATAAGTAAATTATTATAAAAAATTGTGGGTAAACTCAAGGCCACATAGGTTACATCTACGTGTGTAGCACCATGATATGCCAAGACAGATTCTTTTTGATTGTCTAGCGATCTTGATCTACATAATTTTGCCCATTACATATTAATTGTTACGTAATTTCCGACCGGAATTAATTTTTTCAAAGAGTTAAATTGTATTCTTGATATCTATGTATCAAAAAACCACCTAACCGTATCAAAAAAGCACCTAACTCTTAGACCTAGCTTTATAGTAGTTTTTGGAAAATAGGCCTGCACGATGTTAAAATTTGCCCAGGAATAATTTTCGCTTAATGGGTTACAGTATTAATAAAATTTTTTAACGTCGTTCTTCGCCAATCAAAAACCTAGAATCTGCAAAATTGGTTTTGCAATTTATTTTGCGAACTTTTTTTTTCAAAAAAAAACTGACATGTTTATATATTCTATCTTAATGAAAAAATATTTTTTTTAACGACAGTTTTACGAACTTAATTTATTCAATAAAAAATATTTATATACAGTCAACACTATATAACGAACCTCAGCTCTGGATATAAAGAACTTAATTTCAGATTTATATAATGGATCTTTATAAAATGCTATGGGCTTTTAATAGAACATAATGATTCTCTATAATGAATTTCTTTTTTCTTCCAGAAGTCAGTTTGTTATAGAAAGAGCTGATTGTTATATCATAAAAAGTACCGTTAAATATTATATAAAGGACTAAAAAAATTTTACCTTATGAAAAATAAAGTAAGTTTCGGAAAAGTAAATAATAAAGAACTTTAACTATTTTTTTGAACATGAAAGATAATATTAAAGCAATTTTAATGAGGTCGAATTTTTTTGTGTGAATATAAAGATAGTGAGCGTCGGGAAATTTTTGTTAGTGCAGTCTGTGCAAAAAAAAATTAGATAATATAAATCAAATGAAAATCTTTGAACATAATAGCTATAAATTGTTGATGTTTTGTACAGAATTGTATTTAAAATAAATTCTATAGACAGATTTTTTGCAGATTTATGCTTATTTAATATTTTATAATAGTAAATCTCTTTAATAAAATAAAAAATCAATTTATTAAAATAAAAAATCAATTTATTAAAAATAATTTAAACCATACTATGATGTTCAAATGGCATATATAGTTTACTATGAAAATTTAGAGTTAGAAAGCAATTATATACTAATTTTTTGTACGCCTAACTTTATTTATTTTGAAATATAGCAACTATATATGATGTTAAACATCATTGGTATGCTTTAGTAAACTTGTAAAAATTTAAATAATTTTAAAAAAAAATTTATAGTAAAAGTCTTAATTCAAGAACTTTTATTAAAAAATTTTAATAATTTTTTTTAAAAAAACTTGTAGTTAGCGCTAGGCACGCCCATGTCCGTGCTTAAAGTGACTCGATACGTCATAACTCGGAATCGATTGGTCGCGCAACCAAAATTTCAGCAAATCAATCAATTCCGGGAGGGACGGAATGGATCAGAATTGACAATTTTTGCTAATAATCCAGTAATCACACGCTAAATAAAATCACCTAAACGTTAATTTTGCTATAATATATATAGTTAGTTATTGTTGTTAATGCCGGCCTAACTCCGATGCATTCCAACCTAAACTTTTGGTCGATCTGTTCGAATTTTGGTTGCAAATCGCATGATCATACCATATTAATATTGGGATTTTTGCTAAAATATGTACGTACAACGCGGGACTATGATTTTTCCGAGGGTGAATTAAGACTCCATATGTAATAATAACTAACGACGGTATTGGTAGGAAAAATGATGAATGGACGACATAATATGTATATAAACTATAATAGTATAAGATTGGATAGCTAATTGGAAATAAAAAAAAAATTTACCAATTGAAAAGGACTTTCAAACTTTACTATTTATCAAATTCAGTGATTACATGTCATAGATGTATTGAATTTGATAAAATTTTAAAAAACACATTTCTACGTTTGCACAATGAGCTTTTGGGCAGGGTTGTTAGTGGTAAACTTACCGTGGTAAGTTACCGGTAAATTACCGTAAATTACCATGGTAGAATACCAAATACTCATTCGAACGTCCGTACATTATCAGAAAATTTCGGAATAAAGCATAGATTACTTTCACGGTAACTTACAGTAACTTACCAGTAATTTACCATTTTGGTAACTTACAATAAATTACCGGGATCACTTCAATTAATTTCAATTATTGGAAATTATCGAGCAACATCCCTATCTCTAACAAATCATATTGAAGAGCTGCTTGAGAGCGCAACATTACTTTAATCAGTCAAAATCTAATACTCGTATTTTGTACGTACCAATAAATTTTTAGCCAAACGTTCTTCAATTAACCACAATAACTGCTCAACCAAAATAATTACGATTACTAGCAAATCATTTTGAGGGAGCTGCTCAAGAATATTTTAAGTGTTATTATGAATGAGAAAAAGGAAAATGAGGTTTGGGTTTTCAAGTTATCATTTATTATTTGTTAGATTCAACACATAAACGATATGATCTTATATGTTACTATCAAATTTTTAAAGTGATAAATACTGCACAGTAAATAAATGATAAAACTGAAAGTCCGAAGTTATATTTCATTCATATGGCATACGAACTTATCAATTAATCTGATCATTTTTAAAACAGATAAATCATTTATTTATTAGCTTAGATTAAATACAAATATTTGTTTATTATGCTTTTTAAAATATTATAATCAACAAATTCTATTTATGTTATTATTAGATTGATTTAGACAATTAAAAATAAAAAATTGTTTCTATAACTTGTTATTAAGATACTTCGATATGAACTTAAAATTTTTCATGTGATATGCGCCGCGCCAATGAAATGCCGAATAAATTTTATCGTTCGTTATTAGCATTAAAAGAAACTATAACTTTATATTACGTGTATGAAAAAAAAGTTTTTGTTCTAGCAATTAAAGTATGAAAATATTACCAAAATCTACTAAGATCCTTCTTTTTACTACTATTTTATACGTATTTATCTATTATAGAGAAAGACAATTTTTATAGTTCAATATATCTAATTTCATTGCTTTCGTTTTGTATCTCTTCTATTTTATATTTCCCACTGGATCGTTTAGTATCAAATTTGCTACATATATCATTTCCTTTAACATAATCCGATTTATTTTTTTGTCTTATTTCCTTAACAGAAGATTTTGGGTAATATTTTCCTTCTCTACAAATATAAAGTACAACCGGTTCATGAATTCCACCATGAAGAACTAAAATATGATTTGCGTTACTATCTAAACGTGGAATAGCTAACTGCTTTTTATGTATTGGTAAACTTTTTAAATCCTCATATTTCATATCAGTATCTTTCCCTAATTTAACTACGTCTTTACTTTTGCGCCATAAACCAAAATATTCCAAAGTTTCAGCATAATGATAACTCCATTCTGTATAATCATTAGGGACTAATAAAGCAAGAACTTCATGCTTTGGTGAATTAGCCAAGGTCTTGGAACTTTGGTGAAAAACTTCACTATCTTCTAATATTTTAAAGTTTGATTTGTTGTCTATTACTACAAGCATTTTATAACCTGTTTTATTTATAACAGTTATCGTGGAAAGGCATGTAGTAACGAGACTAAATAATAATAATATTATTCTTTTGAACTTGTTGATACTCATTTTTGAGTTGTAGTTTTCAAAGGTTCTATGGATTAAACTAAAATTCCTTTAACATAGTACGTGTGTGTGTACGCATTTATTTAAAACAACAGTGGTACAACACAAATTATTGTGCACTGCCTGGCAAACCCATGACGTAGCACAGGATAATTATTTGTTGTTGTTATTAGTTTAGACGACAAGGACAATAAACAAAATAAGTTTCCAGAATACAAAAAGGTTTAACATTGTATCTTTCTTTAGTTTTTTATTTTATTATACCAAAAAGTTACTTCTAAAGTGTAAAAATCTAAGCTTAATTTAGAATAGAGCTTTCACTCCAGTATTCCAACAAGAAACTTCATATTAAAAATTGACACACCATTATACGCAATCGTATACACCACATAATGTTGTAGCTGTTTTGATTCACGGTTGTACACCCGAAACTTGGCGTACTTCTTTGAGTATTGTACGTACGCTGGTATATGTCCATGGATAAAATAAAAAATGGTAAATAGTGTTACTTCTAGCCTATTGAGAGAATTAAATAAACTTTCAAATATTCTCTATTACTGCATATGATCACAAATGTCGGAATATATTGTGAGATCGGTTTAACTTAATATGACTATAATAAATCGGCATAAGTGCACCAATCAGATTCTTTGATCATTGGATTTGATGCAACGTAAAAATCAACGTTATTTTGGAAAATTTTGATAATTCAAAAAAACTTTTTATCTATGAAACCACCTTCTTAGCTTTAAAAAAAATTATTTGCAAACTTTAAGCATAAACTATGTCCTATCATGATCGTTATTTTAAAGTTTTGGTTTCATTACCTTGAAATCCTTACATAATTGTTTTGACTGTTTTGTGAAATTTGACTGGTGTTTGATGCATGCACGTATAGGTAGGTGTATTAAAAATGCAATAATAAATAATTTTGAAGACGTAATTTATTTTAAACATTTATGTTAATGATCCGATTTGGATATACATACCTGTTTTCTGGGTCATTGGCGAATTTTCCAGACTGATTAAATAAACGAATGAATTTGTTTAAAATCTTTGTTACTAAACTAAGCAACCAAATTGTAAGATCAATAATTGTGAACGCTTTTAATATCTAGTAGATTCTCAAGCAAATTTCTTAATATAATTTGCTAGTGATAGAGTTAATGGTAAATCAGTGCAATATTAATGTAATACCAAATTTTGCCGCAAATTCATAGTAGTTACGTAATGATAATCACGATCAAGCTTTTTAACCAATTAGGTTTTTCGACAAACCCATTAGGGGAGACACTTGAGAACACCAATAAAACAAAAGCAACTAAGATATAATAAAACATCCACAGGAGATTATCTATCAGCGATTCGTTATTAAAAAATTCGTTTATTGGGAAAATGATCATTATGTTCATCAGGTCATCATACAAGTTTTATTGAGTATCAGACTCGACAATGCTAATTTATTAATGATAACAACTTGCAATATAATACACTTTAAAAATTGCTTATTCCTAGTTGTCCGAGTGATACTGCAGAAAAGCAATTTTTAGTTTGTTTTACAATGGTAATATTTACATTTAAATCCGAGACTCTCGATTTTACCCGATAATGCCGAGCTGCTACCATATTGTAGAAATAAAAGTAAAAGGTAACGAAAACAAATTCTGTTACACTTTTTGGACAATCATTTTGAATACTTTTATCAAGAAAGTATTTACTTTTAAATAAAATATTTGTGAACATTAGAAGTAAACTGCAAAATAAGGACATTAGAACAGAATTCATCTTTATGATACTAAAATATTGCAAAATATGCGTCTTTCCACTAGAACGTCGAGAATGGCATTAAAGCAAATTTTAAGTTATTATAGGTACCTGTGTTATATGAAGTTTCATTTTTTTGTTCACATATAATTTAAATAAAAGAACTAAAATATATATGTAAATATAAGTGCTGCCAAGAAAAAAAACAGTGGATGTAATTTTTTTAATATTGCTGTATTTATCGCTGTAATATCAACTTATCATTTATATGTATTACTGACCAGAATGACCGATTATCAAATCCATTCAGTTATATATTATCATGAATTAAAGTCTATTGTAGTACTTCATGTCGATATTGATCATCTTCATTATTGTGTTTCATTGAACATTCAACTTGATTATAATCGAATACTTGGACTTGATTATTCTTTAAAAAATTGTATGAACTTAAATTGTTGTAATGATTAAAGTAAAAAACTTGATCATTCTAAAAAGGCATTAAATCCGTTGTAGAATATTGAAAAGGCATTAAATCTGTTGTGGAATATTGAAAAGGTATTGAATCCATTGTAGAATATTGGTCATTTTTAGTAAGTGAAATATTATCGTTATGATAAATATTTTCAAAATTTAAATTATCACGTTGACAAAAATAAAAGTCTTGATCATTCGAATCTTGATCGTTCAAAAGGGTGGTTAAATTCATTTTTGGATGTTTATTTGATTTACTAATTTAAAATAATGTAATAATTTTTATAATATTTCAAATATAAGATTGTAAATAGTTTTATGTTAGCATAATTTCATACCTCTTTTCACTCATAATGTAAAGTAAAGTTTCTTTAGTAGTATATTCTATTAAAATTAGAATAAGAATTATGTTTAGATTTATATTATGAATTATATTAATTAATGTTATTAAGATAAATTGAAGTTGATTCTTAGTCCTTCTTATCTTGGCAGTAGCAAAAAAAATGAATTATCAATCATAAATAAGGCTATTAATTAGCTTATCTTTCTGAAAATATCTTACGTTCATTTGAACATTTGATTTTCTCATTCTATCTTACCTTGAATCTAGTGCGTAATATTAGTCTGAAACAACTTCAATTTGACTGAGTGATAAATAAATTTATACATACTATCTTTATTTTTCATATTTTCATAAAAGTTATAAAATGATTGACATTTATTATTCAAAACTTTTTCAGAGTTTAGATTATCATCATGATAAGAATAAAAAACTTGATCATAATCTAAACGTTGATCAATTTTATTAAATGATTCAAGATCCGGCGCAATACTAAAAAAAATAACCTATATTAATTTTAAAGCTTTTTTCAATAAAGTTTCATATTTATTTTAATAAATAGATACCTTTCATTCACTATATCAAATAAATTTTCTCTAGTAATGTAGTCTGTCAAATATAATTAATAATTAATACACGCAATTAATAAGAAGACAAATAATTTAATGTACAAACGTGCTTCACCTGTAACTGGTAAACAATTTAATTGAACATTTTGCAGTGCTAATGCTGTCTTTATCAGGGAACTTAATGGTCGGCTCGTAAATACAGCATTTGGATGGGCTGCAGCATTTGTATTTTTAATTATAGGAAGTTCGACTTTAGATTTCATCTTCATTATAGTATCACCAACCATATCTGCAGCTGGCCTTTTTAATGGATCAGTTTCCCAACATTTCATCATCAATTCAATAAATGGTTGTGGCGTGCCACTAATGATCGGCGGACGAATACCATTACAAATATCAATGATAAGGTGTATATCATGACTACGATCAGAAAAGGGCTTTTGACCACTCGTAATTTCCCACATAATCATCCCCAAACTATATACATCTGATGTTCCCCCCCTCTTAATACCTCTGGTGCAATATATGGAATGACACCATATACTTCAGTATCTGATGATTCATTTGCTGGGCGGCTTATTCCAAAATCATTAATGGCTACTTTCAAATAAGTAATTTCTTTTTTATAATATTGCCACTGTGAAAGTCTCTATGAATAATTTGCTGTTTATGGATTTTTCGAAGTTGCAATGCAATGCCCTGTAAGATTTCTAATTTACCGTCAGAATGTAATTCATCGTGATTCAATAGAAAATGACGTAAATCTCCATCTCGCACAAAATCGATGACAAGCATAAAATCTCTGGTTTGTGGATCTTGGGTAACGCCAAAAAGATTGTTAATTCTAGAATCATATTTCATATTCATAGAAATTTTCTCTGTTCTAATGAATTTAATGTAAATTTCCAACTAAACAAATAAACTTTTATGTTAAATATGGTTGTAAAAATATTTGTTGTATCTTAACCCTAATAAACACCCTGCAAGTAATGACCTAACACAATTAATTATAAATTAGTTAGTCGTAACAAAAAATGTCGAGGTCACATGAATTATTATTCAATAAGAATATAAGATTAGAAGTAAGATCAGGTATAAAAAAAAGTTGTAATGAAAGCACAAGAATTATTTTTGATTAATATAAGTGTCAGAAACATAAAAAAAAGCGATTTTATAAGCTAAATAGTCATTTTCCTATAGGTTTAATATTACACCTGATTATCATAAACAAGTGATCTTGACATTTTCTGTAACGAATAACCTCAGTATTTCAATAATCTTTCTTTTAATGTGAGTTTATATAAATATATATATATAGTATACATATCAAATAGTCATCTGTCAATAAGTTGTATTATATAGATTTTAACTGCTGTGTTTTTTCTGATTTTTTTTGTAAAAATTGCAATATTGGAATTCATTGTTATGAAAACGTTTACTAATCTATTTAAAGTATGGATATGTTGGTGTGGGTGTTCATTCACGATAGGATACAATAGTTTAAGAATATTTTATGAACTTTCATATTTATCTATTTTGAAACCAGAATTATCGCTCTCTGCAAATTAGTGTGACAGGTGATTTTTATTGCAATTATTAAAAAGCAATGGTAATATATAGAATTGCGACAAATGGATCCTATATTACTATTGTTTTAGCAATAGTAATATGCAGAATTCATAGGATTCAGAAAATACTTGCCATACTAATTTGAAAAGAGCGATAGGTATAATTATGGAATAAATTTTGCTAGTTAGGATTCTTAATTTTCCATAATTCCAAGACCAAACAATAAGGTTAGTTATATTTATGTGCTTTTAAAATACAGGATTTCAATATAAATAAATTAGAAGTTCTTTTCTATTGGTAAGTTCCGTATAATGTAATACAATACTTACCTCATTCAAAAAGCTACTATCAATATTTTCAGAATTATTAAGCCTTTTAAGAACAATTTCACGTTCAATCCGTCTAAAGCATCCTTCAATTGGGAGCCATCCAGTAATTGGTCCATCTTTCCATAATGCTTTATATATTTTACTAAATCCACCTTCGGCAAGATATTCGATGTTGGTGAATTGCTCATATGGAATATATGTTATTCGATTCTTGATTTTTAAAGTAAGTGACTTTTTAATAAGGTCATCGACCAGTTTGTTACCGCTTAGCATTTGAAGCGATGCATTACAATATATACAATGTGATGAGTCTTTATTACTATGAATTCGATATTTGCCACATGTTTTGCATTTATTTCTATACTTTTTCTTGTGTGTCATCGAGCTTGATGAATTTTCCATTGTTTAGCTAAAGTTTATTTGTATAAAATATTGTGCTAATATTTTAATGTATTTAAACAACGTTATAATTCATCCCACTTTTTCCTTTATTTAAATAAAAATCCAACTGGAATCGAATAATTAAGTGCAATAAGGAATATTAATTAAAGTTCGGTCAGTCCGGGATTTTACCATATTTGGGGTCCGCTATAATTAATCAATGAAATTACCCCCTAACGTGGCTTAACCCTAACCCTGACCCCTAACCTTAACATTCCTATTGGATAAAAATCACGAGGTGGTAAAATTTTTTGTAGGAGAGCTACGACACTTTCGCTAAAGCATTGTGAAGAAGCCAAAATAAAAAATGACGGGAAGGCAATTTTACCTATATTCCTACGTACCTTCACACTAAACACTAACACTAGAGTTGCAGGTGAAACTAATCTTCAGTGGTCACCGATGGTGAAACTGGTGAAACTGGTACACTGATGGTGTAACTAGAGTTATAGATGAAACTAATCTTCAGTTTTTTGGTGAAATTAATTAGTTTCTAACTAACACTAATTATAATTGAAACTTCAAAATCACGTGGTACAAAGCTTTAGCGAACTACCCTAGACGATTTCTGCTATCATGTAGATCTTGTGTAACATCAATACTGATAGAATGATAAGCATTCTCAAACTTTAGACGAAGATATAACAATAACAACCTATCCAAGTTTTATAAAAAACCTTTAGCTTACTCCTATAGATTCACAGAATTAAAATAAAAAAAAAATTCATCGTTATTGGATAGGTAGTTATCGAGATATTGTCGCTCAAAGTTTGAAAAAAAAACTTAATGCAGTCCGTAATTTGATCGCTAAATTTTTTTAAACTTTGAGCGAGAATATATTGATAACTACCTATATAAACTTGACGAATTTTTTTTATTTTAATTCTGTGGATTCATATAGTCAAAATAAAAAAATTTTTATCAATTTTGGATAGGTTTTCTCTTACTGAAGATTTGAATGAATTCTTCCTGCTTATCACTTGTACACGAATTTCTCTAATCTAATTATTTTAAAAACACTCTATAACTTTGTTTTTTACTAATTAACTAGTTTTTTATTTTTGTTTTTCTTATAAAAATACATATAATATCTAAAATCTAATTAAATAACTTCTAAATTCATCAAGAAACGATTTATGGGTCTAAAATTTATAATTTTATAAGTAACTCTAAAACAACCTTCTAAATCTATCTTGCAAGCTTAGAAAAGGCTAAAAAATCTCATCATTCTTATTATAAGAAGTTATATTTCAAGCTTGTAATCCTAAATATACTCAAAATACATTAATTCCTCTAATTTCTTTTTTCTCTTCTTTTAAACTCCTTTTAACAAAAATTCTGTAGCGTTTTTTATACAATACAAATTACTCCAAATTGTGTCACCCAGATTAATTAACAACTTAAAATTAGTAGTTCTCTACTGATTACACAAATTATTAATTAAATGTTTACTTGTAATTTTTTTAATTTACACAAAACAAACATAAATTTGCGTAACTTGTATAATGCATGACCTGCGTACCATGTGATTTCATGTGACTTACATCTTAATCTAATCTAAATGCACTCCTGCACCTACTTTTTCATTGTGAGATCTTAGTAAAAATAAGAATTTTCAAACCTTTGAACGAAGATATCTCTGATCAAATTCAATAAAACTTTTTTATTCGAGTTCTGCTATGGGTTCATAGAATTCGAATAAAAAATTTTCATCAAATTTGGTCAGATGGTTGTCGAAATATTCGCTCAAAGTTAAAGAAAAATTTGGCGCAGCTTCTATTGTGATGTGTTTTTGATTTTTCTCTAACTTTGAGCAAAGATATCTCGACGACCACTTGATTAAATTCGATAAAAATTTTATTCGAATCCTATGAATCCATAGAATTCAAATAAAAAAAAATTATTGAATTCGGTGCGATGGTTGTCGATATATCTTTTCTCAAGTCAGAGAAAATTTCTATTTTGATATGCATTTTGATTTTTCTCTAAATTTGAGCGAGAATATATCTACAGTCAACTGACCAAATTTGATGAAAAATTTTTGTTCAAATTCTATAAATCCATAAAATTCAAATAAAAAAAAGTTTTATCAAATTTGGTCAGATGGTTGTCGAGATATCCTCTCTCAAAGTTAGAGAAAATATGCTACAGCTTCTATTTTGTTATGTATTTTGATTTCTCTAAATTTGAGTGAATTTTTTTATATGTTGCAAACCGGGTGAAGGATCATTCGCGTAACATCGACTGTTCCTCCTGTTGAACGTGTCAGATTTGTGGCCCAGAAATCAGATTTCAAGATTGTGTAACGTAGGAAGATTCAAAACGTTCTTTTGTCAAAACTCCTTTAGTGCTCTAATAAAAGTTTTCATTGAGAGCTTTACACTATAATTGTTATCATCTAATCTAAATCCAATAACAATGAACTTGAAGTATTTCATCAACATTACATGATTACGAATCTGCGTCACAAACCTGGCACGCATTTCAAACATGCTTTTAATACTGTAATTAATGTTGAACACCATTACCTAAATATATCTGCACATTTTAAGTATAGCAGGATCCGACTGATGTATCATTTTTTGATAACATAAAAACTTACAAAGAATAGTAAATGTTTAATCTTTTAATGTACATGTATGTATTTTTGGTGTTAAATATATTAAAACTAAATTAAAAGACCATCTTACATGCTGTATGTATTTTTCTCAATTATAGTAACAAAATACATAAAAAAATTGATTTAACTGAGAGGTTACATATATCAGATGCATTATTTATAAATACTATCATCATAACGTTCTGGAAAATTATGACCACTTGGTCCAAAAGGTTCATCGGATCTATAATTTCTGAAAGATGACCCATATTCACCACCAGTTTCAACAAATCTAAAACTAGCATACCATTCAACAGAAAATGAACACCAATTTCTAAAAATACCACCAATAATTAACCCAATTCCTGCTAAAGCAGTTGTAAATACAGGCAAAGTTTCGACATTATGAATAGCAATACCAATTAATATCCAAATGATAGTAACAGCAAAAATATTATCTTTTCTCACATAATAATCAACAATGTATAAACCAATAATTGATAGAAAAGCTAAAACGACAATGGTTAAAGAAACAATATTAATAGCCGGGATGGCAATCCAAAAATAAAGGAACAAAATATATAAATTCCAAGCGGCTAATATTGAAAATGGATAAGCTATGAAGAGACTATCAAAAATTCCTTGAGGAGGGTAGTAAGATGAGATGTTGAAGTATATTAAGAAGAACAATATGAAGATGACCACTTGTATAATAGCATCTATAAGATAAAAAGAGAGACCCTAATAGAAATAAAATTTAACAACTGAGTCATGAAGAAATATTTTTTTGATTAAGAATAAAATATTTACCCATAAAATCAACCAGACAACATTCAAAACAGCTTGACAGAAAAAAAAGTACGAAACACCACTAGCTACAGCATCATTCGCCCACTCGAACCATTGACAGATAATGAAACCAAGAAGTAATGGAAAAATCAAAAACCAAATTCCAAAAGTAAATTCTGTAGGTGTAAGATAAGTTGTAGTAGTGTTAGTCGCATTTTGACTTTCCGTATTTTGACTGTTATTTTGACTATTACTGCCTGGAAAATAACTTAAATATTCAAGTACTATAAAAACAGCTATAGCTACTAATGCAAGAAATCCGACAACATTTGCGGATTTTAAAAGAATCGACATTATTTTTCTCGTAAAATTTTAAAATGAAGAAAATCGGAAATTTTGATCTTTGTGTGGCATAGTATATTTACAAAGATAATCATTAAACCTTTTGTTTATTCGAAACTTCAATTACCTTTTAGTCACATGATCATGGTATAATTCGTAGAGTTCTGTTTGCTTTAATTCAATAATAAATGTAGTTGAAAAAATCCTGGTATAACTAAACACGGCCACCTTTGTAAATATTAGTGAAGCCTCAAATAAACGAATAGAATGAAAATCTGTGATATCTTTAATTGTGATACAAAGGTTATTTTCTATTAAGTCACGTTAAAAAAAACCAATATATTTTGCATCCATTTTCACGTGGACTTGGGAAATTCCATACGTAAAGTGATAAGTTTGCATCTATGTGCTTATGCATTTGCATTGTACTACAGGAGCGACCGTCGATGTTACACGACTGACTTTTCACCCGGTGTGCAACATATAAAAAAACTATTTTACAAT